GATAGCTAGCTAGCTATCATTTCTTAAATAAATAAATAAATAAAATATAGCAAACTTGCTTTAAAGAGGTCAAAATTAGACTACATTTACATTATTTTGAAAAGCCTAACTTTTAGTGTCACAGTCACTTCCAGATGGTTTGATGAATTTGTTTTGGATTCAACTTTTTTTCCCCCCTCACTCACCTCGTCACCTTTATCTCCATCAGGTCCCGGGAAGCCTCTTTCTCCTTTTACTCCCTGCAGGAGAGCAGAACCAATGAGTTAGAGAAAAGTGAGTGTTTTTTTTTCCTCACCGACCATGAAAAAAAAAGAGCCTCAAACTAAAAGGCTGATGGATGTAAACTTAAAAAAAAAGTCTTTTTCCAGCACACAACCTGAAATCGCTGAGCCTGTTTTGCTGTGGTGCAAGGCTGTATCCATAGCAACAACTTCTGCAGAGAGCACCTAGTGTTCATAATGTTTGAATATGAAAACAGCTACTCTGAGCTACGGGCGATGATGCAAGAAGAAATTTATTGAAAGCATTTGTCAATATACAACTTTGTTAGGAGGTAAAACACACAACAAAGACGTTGTTAGGATGAGGTGTTTTATTTTAGAGCTTCTTGACTTGCTGAAAAATTAAATTATTCAATTTGTGGCATTTCTGTTGAATTATTTACTGGCGTTCTTTAAGAGCGCCTTTCCCTCGCCTACCTTAGGACCTTCTTTCCCGGGGTTACCCGTCGGACCTCTCACACCTGGATCTCCCTGTTTAAAACACAAATAAAGATTAATCTAAGTGGCATGCAAAAGGTTTGATATCTTTAGTTAGACATCACATATTTGCCAATATTAACTACCAAGCAATAAGAAGACAATGCACACAGGTAACAACATGGTAATAAAGGGGGAATACATTTATTAATGGCACAACTATTCAGTAATATTATGGTAATAATACGGTCATTAGGGTGAAAATAACATATCAAGGTAATGTTAGATGTTTGCAGAATATTTATTTATTCATTTATTGCTACACCCTTGTTAGCGATGGTTAATGTAAGTCAGGGCTATTCAGCTAAATTGCTCTGGGGACCACAGTTACTGCAGGTCAACAGCCCAGGGGCCAAACATCCAGCAATTAAAATTGTTATGTAAATAAACCAAGTACTACAAAGAGCTGTTACCTTTGAAATAGTTTATTTTACTTCATTTAATCATGAATACAACATACAGAACCCTATGACAATTAAACAATATCAAAAACAAAAAGAACACGTTCCGCCTCATATTTAACACAAATATTATTTTGACGTCTCTGACGAACCAATTGGTGGGCCGAACTTTGGACACTCGTGGGCCGGATGTGGCCCGCGGGCCGCCAGTTGAATAGCCCTGGTGTAAGTTCCATCAGCAGTCAGAACTTCTCAAATACTCCACACAATCCTTCGAAGCTAAACTTTCATCATGAAGATGCAGAACATTTATCCACTGAGGACTTTTGCCTTAAAGAGCATATTAGTTTAGGTGCATCAGCACTTAAGCCTGCAAAATCTTCTTGGGGTCTTTTAGAGTCAACTACTCTGGTTTCATGCTGCAAACAAGGATTTTCTCAGTCTGACGTCTGTTTTAGTCAGCTTCAACTTTTTAAGCACAACTGCAGAGAAAGTGGTGTTTCTTCTCACAGCCTTCTTGTGCTCCGTTAGTGTCAAAAATTTGAATTTTGAAAATACTGGATAGTTTGTAAAAAAAAACATCCATGGCAGCTGAACTGCAGAAGCAACATGTGCAAGTTTTTACAAAGTTTTTTTGGTGACTTTCCCCATTCTTTAGGTATACTACCAGCTAGGAGAAAAACACTCACAAGCTGTGTTCTGATATATCAGAAAGTGTTAAGATCTGAGGTGTCCAGACTTTTGCAAGGTGCCGTTTTACCTTTATTTCTGAAAAACAAAATAGCGTAATATATTTGCAAAAAAAAAGTTAGGAACAAATTACTCTAACTTTAACTTTTGCAGAAACAGATGTTATGAGCAAAGGTGCCTAAGCTTACACTACACTGAGCCCAAAAGGCTCAAATTTATTGGAAAACATATTTAAAAAAGTCTGAACTGGAAGTACCTTCTCTCCCACCGAGCCTTCTAGTCCTTGCGCTCCAGGGGGCCCCTTCTCTCCCTTCTGCCCGGGCAGCCCGGGAACTCTTGTCTGGCACACACCGCAGGCGTTCTGGCAGCACGGGCGAAGCAAGAGGCAAAATAAAAAACSGGTGGCACAGATAAGATTTCATCACGCTGAGCTGGCACACTGTATTTTCACCMCATATTCTGTCACCTCCCCTGGGTGGGAGACAATACCTAAACTGACACAAAAWGTTCCCTAAGTGTCTGCTGAGCAGAAATAACGTGAACCCACACGGACTGCCTCCCGTGTAGGCGGGAGGTGAACTTTGTCAAAGTCATCGATTGTGGCATTTAGATTAGTATCACTGTCCCTGAAGCAGGGCTCCCAGAAAGCAACTGGGTGCTCCGACAAGTTGGAAGTGGGCTGGGCGACCAAAAAATACTTTATAACATAAAAACACATCATCTATAATCGAACTGAAAAAAACATTCTAGTTCTAATCTTTTTAGATCAAAGGGAAATGTTYTTTTATCAAGTCAGGGGTGGTTTTACGGGCGGGGCCACAGCTGCATTGGCCCTAGCTGAAATCTGATTGGCCTCCTGAAGTGCCCCTGTCCTGTCATTCATCTGTCCTTTGCCACAGAGTGACGATGAAGATGGATGCAGTTCCATGTCCAAACACTAGTGGTGCTAATGAGTCAAACAGGAAAGTCGGTCATGAATCAAGCTTACAGAAGTCTTCTTCTGTTTTTAGGCTTTTAACAAACCTGCAGAAAAATTCCCTCAACTGAGATTATTTTAATTTGTTTTGATTATATAGTTTTAATCTTCTGTTTAGGCTTTTATCATACACTGTGACTGCTGTTGTGTTTTATTGACTGTAGAGCACTTTGGTCCCATGGTCGTTTAAGTGCTTTATAAAGTTGGTATTGCTGGGTTGTGGTCACGTGACCCGAATGACGTGTGAAGCTCAGATGGGGGCAGGAACTGATTCGCTGGATCACAGCCCTAAATGGGCTAGCGCGGATGAGATATTGCGAATAAAATATGTGTACATTTAGGATATGATCCCTATTATCTTTATAAAAAAGCCTTGTTATATAATCTGGAGGATTCACTCAGTGTCCAGACGACTGACATAAACGTTCTGGTGCAAACCTCGTATATTACAATGAGCCAGATGAAAGCTTTCCAAAAGCCTCAAAGCATAATTTATTTTTGCTTCAGGCTGGGTCAACCATTTAGGATCCAAAGAAGCTTTAAATGGCRGTTGACTTGTTTTTACTCAGGTGAGTAGTAAGTTGTGATATTTAAGTAATTTACTGAAGCCATATTACCATTTAACAACAAGTTAATCTCTGTTATTTCTATGTGCTTGGATCTACTTGTAAATAATTTATTTAGCTTCTGTAAACCCAAATCCAATAAAATATCTGAAAATACGATTTAAACGATACGATCCTTACCTGTTAAAAAGTGGTCGCTGCAAACTCGTACTGCAAGTTTCCGCACCTCCTGTTTTAAGCCGTGGATTGTTGATCCACTTTTGTCATCTTTATTTTTTTCTGTAGGTTAACTCCCTTGTGACACTACTTTTGGAACACGAACAAAACCTATCTTTCTCCTGATTAGAGCGGTTGCAACAARCGTATGAGAGAGTTTAGGCATTTTGATGCTGAATCAGCAGCAGGAAACGGGSCTGCATTTACTTCCTGCTCCCCATCTGCATTTCATGTCATCGATACTACGTCATAAGCAACCTAGCAATGGTATAGTAACTAAGAGTTATTGGATTTTCTCACATGCTGTGTGTTTGAGAGTATTTTACAGTAAAATGCACGTACAATTGGTAAGGAGAACTTACTGTGCAAGCTTTTTAAAATTACATTGCAAGTATTTGAACATGTGTGATTGGTTAAAGGTTTACGTCTTACAAAAACTGGGGGATTTGTGTGTAAGGAGGTTAAAACAAAATACTTGGCTCCTCTATAAATATTGTGGCCCCTTGATGGCCGCTCGAAAAAAAATCCTAGATCTGCCTCTGTTTCAAGTTATTACTGTCTTCCAAATGAAGCTTCAGTTCAAAAGGTTTTGTTGTTTTGTGTCAACAATCAGTCCAAAACCCTGATTAGAGCACCAGTCTATTAACACGATGAAAGCTGTATGGAAGTGTTTTATTCTTGTAACACTTAAAGCTTTAAAAAGTTGACACTGAAGGACAAGGGTTGAGGAAGAAAAAACAAATCACATCTGGCTTTATCTAACCGAAAGTCTCAGTTGACAGATTAATGACTGAAATAATGAGGAAATCTGCAAAACAAGCTAATAACAGTTAAGTGAGAGTTATTCTCCAAGGCTTTTAATGTCAGTTTTTTTATATTTTGGAATAATTGCGATGTTAGTATGCAAAGAGTTCTATTTTATTGAACGCAGTCATTAAGTTTTTTTATTTTCCAGATGCAAATTTTAAATGTTTGGTTAGTTTTGTGAAAATGCATGCCTTGCTTATTATCAGTGTGGTTATTTTACATCGCTAACATCCAAAGTCTGCAAAACTTGCACATCTTTGTGTGCAGCTGTATGTAAAAAATCATGGTGAATGGAATAAGGCGCTTTAAAAATGAGTTAAACTAAATTTTCTAATGGTGGGAAGAAGACTGGATCTCTCACCACATCATCTTTAAATGACTGCAAATGTCTTTTTAAAATCCKACTAACTGCAGTGCCTTCACTTAGAGGCTTTATTAACCTGTGCTGAATCTGTGTTCTGGATATACTGTATGTCGTAACTTTCTGGACAGGCAGCATTTCTCCACTCATCCTGATGGAGGCACTCACAGACCTGCAGTATCTGCCTTAACTGATCGCACCCATTATTAGAATAAAATAGGTTCAAATCAACAAACGCTGATCTTTTTTAAATACTAACTCGACACCCTTTTTACAAGTCATTTCTCTGGAAAGSCTGCAATTATTGTGCACAATGAAAATGAAATACCTTGAGTAAAGCACCCATGTCTCCAACAATAGGCAAGGCAGTCTGTCAAGAAAAACAACAAAAAAAAAGAAAGAAAAAATGTTTCTTTTAGAGGTGAATTTTCATGATTTTGGAAGAGATTTCAACTGTTTTGTGCTCCTGCATCTTAGATCTTTCAAAAACAATACAAAGATCATTAAAACACAAATAAGTAATGCTTGTATATATATTTAAACTTACAGTTCAGTATTTTTTTATTCTTTGTAGGACTTGATAAAAACCTTTAAAAACGTTGATGCTGGGAGATGGCATTCTGATACATTGAACACGCTCGGCACTCACAACTAAGACAAAAGAAGTTAAAGCCAATGCTTTTCATGTTTCCCCCACTAAAACATTAATTAAAAATAAATGTCTATCATATATTTTTAGCTAACATAAATGTAGGCATGTGATCATGACAAGCCTGTGATGTCAACGCTGCAGAGCCCATTTGGTGCTCACACCGCAGCTATCAGAAACAGAGCAAATATAGCTCATTCGAAACGCACAAAAAAACAAGAAAGATGTGAAATCGTGCGCTAACGACAGTTTTGTTCCAACATTTTCCTAAAAGTGACGCTGGTTAGTGAAGAACAGGACTGGCTGCTTAATTATCCCCAAACTCGGAGCTCTGCGCTGCCCGTACGGTGATGGTCTCACGGCTGATCAGTGATGCTGAACTGCACCGAGCACAAATGAGATTTTCTTACTTACTGGTTCACCTGGAGGTCCAGCTGGGCCCGGCGGACCTGGTCTACCAGGGGAGCCCTTAAATTGAGACAAAAGAACGGAGTTAYCAGCCTCCCTGGCTGTAATATCATGCAGACATGTGAGGCTGTAACTTTTCAGAGCCGTCTCAGTCGGTGGGAATCTGTGTCCAGAAGCACTGGACACATTCCAACTTTATGCTTTTAGTCATCTTTTGTCTGCAGATGTAGGTGTGGGAGAAAAAGCAAAGTGATGAACTGAACCCACTTACCTCTCTTCCTGGTGGTCCAGAAAGTCCAGGAAAGCCTTGGGATCCACGAGGGCCCTGAAGAAAACCAATGAATTTTTAACTGGTCTCGCCGTATAGAAGGGTGTATTTGTAATGTAACTGGCCACAACAACAAACGACAGCAACATGTTTTGGAAATCAACGTGAACGTGTAGTTCCTGCGTTGTGAATTGGAATGTTTTCTCCACAGACCTCGGTTCCTGGTTTCCCCGGGGGTCCCGCGGGGCCCTACAAACACATCACACATCTTGTTAACACCATCTCCCCTCGAGCACCKAGACCCAGTGCAGTAATTGTGTTAGGCACCTTTTGCTCTATTGATTCCTTGTCACGAGCTATCCTGTTTTTTTTTTCCGAAAAATGAACATGCGCTCGCTCAGTCAAATGGGTTTAAGGTATCGCAGAAAGAAACCATCGCTTTATAATGAGACCAGGATGCAACGCAACGACTCCTCGCGGTAATAAGCAGTGGTTTTTCCTATAGATGTGTTTAATGATCACCGCACCTTTATGTGCTTTTAGTGTCTGCGACAAACACGAGAATGTAAAAAACTTCCTGGTGTGGAGTAAATAATGAATGATGGAATGACAGATCGATACAACATCGTACTCACAATGATGCTCTCCCCAGGTTCTCCCTTTTCTCCGTGGTCTCCTGGTAAACCCGGTATGCCTCGCTCGCCCTYACAAACAACAGGGGAAGGTGAATCCAGAGGATGGGGGAGCGGCYGCACAGCAGGATCATTAACTCGAACAGAGCTCTTTTCCTTTCATCTTTTGTATTTTAGTGACTTTAAAGGTAGAGCCCGGGCCAGACACATTTTAATTATCACCCACCACCAAAAGGCAAACAATTGTGTTTCTGTGTGTGTATGTGTGTTCATGGGTCTGCCTATTAGCAATAACTCATAAAATACTTCACAAATTTTATTGAAACTCTCCAGAAGTATTCACTGGATGAACTCCTACATCTCAATAATGGTTAGGGTCAATCTAATTCAAGATGGCCGTCTTAGCTAATCAACATTAGGACAAAAATGCCTACAATTCAGTCAGTTTTACAGAAATCACGCAAACATTTCTCTTGGTAGTCGTCGAGTCATTTACAACTCATAATTTGAATATGACATCTCTTGCGCTTTATTAATTTGAGGTTTGTCCAAAAAAATCTACAACTTCTTCATTTTCTAACATAAGATGATTTTAGTTTAAAACTACAGCATAAAGCTGGGTGACATGTATTTCTGGAACGCTAAGCCTTTTCATTATCATCAATTATACTTGAACTCATCCATATTCTCATGATAACTCTTGATTGATAACAAAGGAGACTCATCAAAAGAAGCTGAAGTGTCTTTTAAACTGTGAAATAAAGCACATACATACAGTATGTGAGTGTATATRGTGCTTATTGCTAAGATAACACCTTCAGTGTTCTTGAGAAGCAACACCTCCTGCTTAACTGTAGAAAAAAAACAAGTACAGGACATTTCATTGAAGTTGTTCAACTTTTCAAAATGTTTAGACAAGCAAACTTTCATATGGATGTAATTTGAATCATTAGTTTTTAAATTATTTTTTTTAGTCTTTTCATCTTTAGTATCAACAAACGAACATTTTCTGTTATGTTTGGTCAAGTCTAGTGTCACTTAAATATGTACAAAATAATTGGTACCCCTTTACAGTAAGACTCCCCTTATAGATGGCTTATAAATAGTTTATAGATAGTATTGTAAGTACAGTAATGTATTGGAAACACATGGTTTGCATATAATTTTGTACTGTATTACTACATACTGTAGTTTTTTCCCCCTCATCTTCCCTTGTGTGGTTTTTAGTTTTTCTGTTGTTAAATGTAGCGCAACTGTGTTTGCTGCATGACCAGTTTCACCTGTTCCCCCATGTTTGTCTTGTATGTCTTCTTGAATGGGTGTTTCTTAACTGCCCCTCCCCCTTCCCTGAATGTACAGTACCTTGTGAATTTATTTCTGTGAAAGGTGCTATATAAATAAAACTTTACTTTACTTTACTTACTTACTTACTTTACATTATGCAAATCCACAATTATCAAAGGGAACCTTATTGTAAAGTGTAAAACATTATACTATTGTGTAACCAGGTTGTTGTGTGTTGCAGATTCTGCCCAGGTCCTTCCTGCAAATGAGATCTCAATCTCAATGGGGTTTTACCTGGTTAAATAAAAAAAAAAATGAAAATAATAATAATAATTTATAGGGCCCCTTTATGACATTATATTATTGGTCATAGTGTGTTTTACACTTTACAATAAGTCTCCCTTTGTGGATATCTGTAATGTYGTAATACAGTAAAATAATATATGTAAAGTATGTGTTTCCAAATCATTATTGTGCTTACAAGGTAGTAATAGTCTGGAATGTTTAATATAGCACTTTAGATGTAATATGTACATAAACGGATTTGGCTCACTATTTGGCAAGAAATCGGACAGTTTTGTCTCTTTCTTGTTTTCAATAAATGCTWAATAAACATTTAATCATGATTTATTAAGTGTTTACAGATTAATTAATAATCTATAAACTATTTATAAGACATCTATAAGGAGAGCCTTATTGTAAAGTGGTACCAAATAATATGTAACTGTAATATGTAACAATTATACACTGCTTTAAAAATATTTCAAAATTATTTGAATATCAAATAAAATTTGTATCTTTTGCCTTCAGTCACAGGTAATGTTTCTCATATGAACTGCAGAGTTCATGCAACAGTTCCTTTTTATTTATTTATTTATTTTCATTATTTAGTCTTTTACTTTTCTTGGCTTGCAAGACTAATGTCTGTTTCCAGGAAAATGATGTGGATACATCAAAGCTGCTGTGGCCACATCCTCAAAGACGTGATCCATCAGAACTTTGTGATTGTGACTTGTTTTTTAAAAATCAGTAGTGCCGACCTGTAACAAATGATAAAGGTGTACAGTTTTCCCCTATTTTTCTCCCATTTCGATCACACTCCTCCAAAATACTTTATCAATATGTTTGTCACAYTCATTAGTAATCAATTATTATCATGTTGTCATTTTGTGCAAAAGACTTGTTACTAAAGCAAGGAAATGGTACAGGAAAAATGGCACGTGGTTGTGACTGATTTACCCTTAAATTATTATCTTTTTAATAGTCTCTGAAGGCAATATGAGGCCATCTGTCTGAAAGTTAAAGCTGAACTAGAAGCTGAAGTTTGAARGAGATAATAATCCTCAGCTCACTCAGTAAAGAAGGCAAATCCTGGAAAGATGAGGTTTGAACCTGATTAAATAGACCATGACAAAAATAAACAAATGAATAAATATAAATTGCAGAGGAGAGGAGTGCTAAAAATGAGAATGTTAAAGTTTGAAACTGATGTATAATTCTGAAAAAAAGTGATTGTTTTTGACAGTATTCCTTCAATATTCTTTATAACTTTATTGTAAATTCTTTGGCTAAAGTTTCAAGAGTTCCCCACAGATTTTGCTTTGTAATCTTCCATAATAAATGCAACATATACTTTTTATTTTTCTTTGCTTGCTGAAGAGCATATTTTTGAGTGCCTTAACTTAAAAACTCTGGCAAAACAAAACCGTACCATTCAGGTTTCAGACCATTAGGTTTGAAAAATATCTCGTTTGCAGGAAAAGAAGTGTCACTTCTGTATTTCAGAGCAAAGAAATTCCGCTTCTTTATCTTTGCTGTTCGTCGTTGAAGACAAAAAAAGTCACCATTTTCAGCAAATTCTTTTTAGTTTTTTCAGAACTAAAAAGTTGTCACCATGATTAATGTTCTCTATTAGTATACTGCAGCTAAATACAAGAAATATATGATGTAAAAAGAAGACTTGTTTTGGAGAACAAAAGGTTTAGCTTGTCTAACTGGAGTAGCATGGGGGAAACAAGTGAAGGGGAGTTTTTGACGTTAATATTTGCCTGATGGGATCTGCTATTATCTCCATTTATGAGAATCAGGCCTGACTCCAGAGTTACACTTTTGACAGAACACATGAAAACATTTCCACTTTCCTTCTGCATCGGTTCTTACCTTCGGACCACGAGACCCTCTAGCTTGTGACAACCCATCGCCCTACAAAACAACAGAGAAAGAGAGAGAGAAAAAGACATCAARGTTAGAATTTGCTCAGCTTTCATCAGCAATCCTCACTGGCGACCGAGCTGCAGCCCCCACCCCACAACCCCAGCAAATTAAAGAGCTTTAATTGAAACAAGACTCTCAGCACTGTACAAGCTCTTCGAGGTTCAGCGTAAACAGTCTGCACGCAGAAATTCATTACCAGTTCATGTTCAGCACCGTTTTATTAGTTCCAATGTGCAGAGGCACAGTAATAACGCCCCAATGCCGAGAAGCAAACGTTGATTGCGGCTGAGGCTCGTGTAAGCATTATTTACTGTGCCATCCAGATGAGACATTGATTTCTGTGGTCAGCATGTATTAGTGTGACAAGTCCTACATTGCACAATGTAAATGAGTTTTGCTGAAGGTGGATTTGGACTAACGCAGCAGTTCTGCGGCGCATCGGCGAGGAATGTGCACTCAAACATCAAACCAAAAAGTTTTTAGAGTGCAGTGTTTGAGACACTTCAATGATGGTGTTTTTGTTTTTGAAAAAAAAGAAACACTTGCTTCGACAGATAATATGCTTCTGCAAAGTATTAGAATAAAACGTGTTATTTTATGAGAAAAGAACGATTGCTTWTCTATGAAAATAATAAACCAACCAATGAAACAGGGGGGTTAATAAATGAAAAGAAAAAATAAGTAGGTCCTCTGGATGGGTTCTTCTTTAGTGAAACGTTTCGTCTCTCCTCCAAGAGACT